TTATTATTATTATTTATTATTATTATTATTATTATTATTATTATTATTATTATTATTATTTTATTATTATTATTATTATTATTATTATTATTATTATTATTATTATTATTATTATTATTATTATTATTATTATTATTATTATTATTATTATTATTATTATTATTATTATTATTATTATTATTATTATTATTATTATTATTATTATTATTATTATTATTATTATTATTATTATTATTATTATTATTATTTATTATTATTATTATTATTATTATTATTATTATTATTATTATTATTATTATTATTATTATTATTATTATTATTATTATTATTATTATTATTATTATTATTATTATTATTATTATTATTATTATTATTATTATTATTATTATTATTATTATTTATTATTATTATTATTATTATTATTATTATTATTATTATTATTATTATTATTATTATTATTATTATTATTATTATTATTATTATTATTATTATTATTATTATTATTATTATTATTATTATTATTATTATTATTATTATTTATTATTATTATTATTATTATTATTATTATTATTATTATTTTATTATTATTATTATTATTATTATTATTATTATTATTATTATTTATTATTATTATTATTATTATTATTATTATTATTATTATTATTATTATTATTATTTATTATTATTATTATTATTATTATTATTATTATTATTATTATTATTATTATTATTATTATTATTATTATTATTATTATTATTATTATTATTATTACTATTATTACTATTATTACTATTATTATTATTATTATTATCAATTTTGGTCCTTCCAGCCAAACTGATCGCGAAATGTTGCGGGATTTTATATTTTACGGGCAAAATTATCTCCCCAAAGAAATATCTTCAATATCTAAAGAAAAGGAAAATCATATTAAGAGAAAAAAAAAGAGTTTGCCAATCGTTGACGCTATAAATTCTATAAATTTGTGTCTAGTTTCTGTCCGTCTTCCCCATTATTCACATTGATCAAACACCTATAGATATGATTTTACATTGATTTTGTTTAGATATTGAAGATGTTTCCTTGGGATGAAGATTTTATCCCAAAAAAATATAAAATCCAGCAACATTTTACAGTCAATTTGGCCGAAAAGACTAAAACTGATAAAAAAAAAACAAAGTTAGGCACCAAAATTGAAAAAAAAAATTAAAGTTGTGTACCAAAAGTAATAGAACCACAAAAGTCGTGGGACCAAAAGTGAAATTAATTCTTTAAAAATATATTGCATTTTTATAATTTAAACCAACCAAACACTTGAATAACATTCATAGACATTTATTAACTTTTACGAACTTTTTTATTTTAAAAAGTCTATAAAAGTTATTACAATTCTAAATTAAATAAATCCTTACAAACTTTCAATGACTTTGATTCTTATTATTTATAATTTTCTAACAAAATAATGTTGTAATATATCATCAAAGTCTTCTTCTAATTCTTCCTCTACATGCATAAACATTCACAACTTCATGATTTGTATCTATAGTACGATGCGACATTATATGTTAATCACTTATATATATAGTATTAATTTAATATGTGTCGTCTAAACTCTAAACACAAGATGAGAAGTGTAATAATTGTATTAAATAAGATAATATCAAAGAGTACGGACAATGAGAATATATATAAGGAAGAGTTAGAGGATGACTGGGATACGGAGTTATAAACTGACTCAAATACATAGAGTCATAATACTCCCCCTCAAGCACATGGTATACTAGTAACATGTAGCTTGTCTCTAAGGAATGAAAATCTAGGGCCAGATAGAGCTTTCATAAATATATCTGCAAGTTGATCTTTGGTTGAGATGAAGTTGACTTGAATATCTCTAGAAGCCAATCTATCTCGTACAAAGTGATAATCGATTTCTACGTGCTTGGTGCGTGCATGAAAGATTGGATTGGCACACATATAGGTAGCACCTAGATTGTCACACCATAGCTTTGGAACAGAAATACCTGGCACCTTTATTTCGCGTAGCCACGAAATAATCCATAATACCTCTGCACAGACATCTGCTAGGGCTTTGTATTCTGCCTCAATGGAAGACCTATGAACAGTTCTTTGCTTCTTACGGACCCAGTGGCGGAGCCAGAAAATAATGTGAGTGGGGGCGTACTTAAACTTGAGATCTCACTTCTAAGAAAAAATTGCATCTTTCACAATTTTGTTTGAAGAATTTGCTTAAACAAGAAGCTAAAACATATAAAATGCTACAAGTGAATTTTGAACCTTGAACACTCCATCTTTATATTCAAGATTCAACCCATTAATCTACTAAACACTTTAGTGATTTTTCTATGTACTTATATATTAGTAGAGAGGGTTGAGGGGGGGCAGTGGGGGTGGCTCCGCCACTGTACGGACCCAAGATATAAAATTAGTCCCCAAAAAAATAACAAAATCACTAGTGGACTTACAATCTACGGGACAACCAGTCCAATCAGAATCAGGAAAAACATGAATTTTCTTTGACATTGATCTCCGTATACACAACCCAAAACCAATTGTTCCCTTAACATACATCAAGACAAAACTATTTCATATGAAAATTTATAACAATATTGAATTGAATAAAAATATTTATAGTACCAAAATTGTTCAAATAAAATATTTAAAAATATACTTATTAGTTGATAAGAATAAAAAAATTAAAAATTAAAAATTAAAAAGAAGAAGAGCAAAATTAAAAATAAATTGTAAGCGTACAAAGAATAAAACACAATGTACAAGTTATATATATTTTACTTGAGTAATGTTATATATCCCTCCTTATTTTTCCCTTCAATCCATCCGTCATGATGTGAAATCATTTTCCTTTTATTTATATTTAGTTAATATAATATTTATTATATTTTAAGAAAAGAAATGATATTTAAGAATGAGAGTAAAATAAACTAGAAAATCTTAATAATTCAGTACCTAATGAAGAAAAAAAGTAAATATTTTGAAGAGATACAATAAACCATAGTATACAAAATGAAAAAGGCTTTGAGTTTACAATAAATGTTAGGGATTATAATTCTACGAAAAAAAGATTATATCCGAATAACAAGCACAAAAAGTAAATATGATACCCACCACACTACTTCACTCAATACTGGAAATTATAAAATTCTCAACCACCTGAAAGTAATTTTAAATCAATTCGAAAGTAAAACGTGGTCGAAAATAGCAATAAAAGTTTTTCCGGATACCAAAAGTGGTCAGAACAAGGCTTTCGATTTGATTTAAGATCACTTTCAGGTGGTCGGAAATTCCATAATTTTCAGCAGTGACTATCCTTGAAATGCAAAAGAGAACCTTTATGCTATACAATTTGAATTATTTTTAAAAGGTTCTTGTATATATAGTGATGCAAATCATCTTCTTTTTTCGATGTGGGACAAGTGCTTTTTACAAGCATTTCACCTCTATTTTCCAATTCAAATGGATTTACTTTGATAATCAATTTCTCCTCACTCATTATCCGTTTTCAGCTACTATATATCGATCTCTTCTTCTCACTACAAATAACCCGAATTCGTGTTGACCCGACCCAAATCAAAAGTGTACCTACATATATTTGTACCATAAAATAGCTACTTACAGTGCTATATATTTTTGCTATTTTTCTAACAATAAATCTAAGCATAGAAAATCCTAATAATTCTAAAATGTCGAGCAACATGCTTATTGCATTCGATGTAACTCCAAAGTGAATAAGAAATATTTTGAGTTTGTTAAGATTACTATATGAATATTTCCAGCCAGAGACGGAGCCATTATGGGGGCAACTCCTCCCACCCCACCCCTTTATATATATATAAATGTATGTGTATATATATATATATATATATATATATATATATATATATATAGCATTAAATGTTATATAAAACTTATATTTATATTTAAATTGTTAATAGTTTAAGTAGCTTAGTTGGTTGAACTCCAAACTTAATGCTCTTTTATTCTACTTTTTATGAATTATTTAATTAATGTAATATACAAGTTTATATTATAATTCATTGTATTCGAATTAATTTAGAAAAACTTAAAATTGATCTAACTAAAAGAAGTTAAAATTAAAAAGTATTTATGAATATAGTGTAATTCAAATTATTTTGTCTAATTAATTATGTTTCAATTCATATTTTGTCATAAATATTTTGACATTTTCACCTACTCAAGTATATTTTTTGCTCCGACCTTAACTATTGGGTAATCTATCAAAAATATTCTATTTTAATTTATAATGTATTTTATATTTTAACCTTGTTATGATTGTTTGATATTTGTTAAGTCATTTAAATTTTGTCCCCACTCAAATGATTTTCTGAATCCGTCTCTGTTTCCACCACAAATCTAAAGCCTTCCACAACGTTTAAACTTGTACTCAAACACTCGGCAAGCGGCACCGTAAACCTTTACTTTTGCAGAGATACAATAAATTATAGTATCAAAAATGAAAAGAAAAAGGCAGAAAGGTTAGAAGAACAAACCATGAATACTGTTGTTAGTGAATTTGAAACTTTATGAGAGAACTTTGCTTGTTTGATAAGTCAACAATAAATAGCTGTCGTGCACCCTGACGGATCTAACATATTTGATCTCTCATTATTGTTATAAGTATATATGTTTGAAAACTTTTGGGCATCGCATGGCGGGTTGTTAATCTCTTGTACATTTGACAACTTTGAGAAATCAGATTCAAAATCATTCTTTTGTAACAGCAGATGACGGTCTTGTTTGTTCATTAGTTAGTGTTTGAAATTCTCATTTAAAACACTTTCTTATAAAGTATTAAATTTTATTATTTATTTAATTTAAATTGATATATTTTTACTTTGGGTGAAGTGTCAAATAGCACCCTGAACCAACAATAAAATGTCATCCCGCACCCTAATCTTATATAAGTGATTATTTGATTCATAAACCAAAAAAAATTGTTCGCCTAGCCTTTTTAACAGGTAACCTTCAAGTTAAAGGTTATAAGTTGGTGATGTGGCAATGACTTGGCTGCGACGTGTCATGTTTTGTAGATGTGGCATCCATTAACTATTTACTGTAATAACAACTTCGAAATCAACTCTAATTTCTGCGTATTTCAAATCAAATCCCTATCAAAGTTTGAAGAAACCTAAATCCCAAATCCCTATCGCGACTTGAAGAATCTCATTCCCAAATCCATAATCTCAAACCCATCCCTAATCTCTAGCTTAAGCCCTAAGCCCTAATCTGTAATTGTAGTTCGAAACCCTAAATCCCTAAACCGAAAAGACTGGAAAGAAGACTGGAAAGAAGGCTCAAACCTCAAACCGAGTAAGGTATGTAGAATAATATCTGAGTATCCTTGCGAATATATGCTTTTAATATGTAATTTTGTATCGATTGTGATGTAGTGGGGTCATGCTATATTGTCTATAAATTGAATATATGTTTAGCTTTTCGTAGTGGGGATTGAATATGTTTAAATCCTATATATGTTTAAATTGAATATACTGTCTTTAAATGTAGTGGGGACCTACTGCTTTAGCTTTTGTTTAATTTTGTATTGATTGTGATGCAGTGGGGTCCTGGGTTTAAGTTGTTTTTGTCTGTATATACTGTGGTCCTGCTCCAGTTAGGCTGTTTTTTTGGTCTTGCTGCTCTACTTTGTTAAGTGTAGAAATGTGCTTTATATATACTATATGATGTTGCTGCTCTAGTTTGCTGCTCTGTATAAACTGCATGATGTTGCTTTAATGTTAAAATGTGCATTGTATTTTTTTGTGTCAGGATGACTAATAGGGTGGATTTAATAATTCATCATGGTGGTAATTTTGTCAAATCCCCTGCGTTAAAATATTTGAATGGTGAAACAGAGGTACTGGATGTGGACCCTGACTTAATATGTTATCCCCACTTAATGAAATATATATCAGCCCAAAGATATGGGAAAATAGTTTCACTTACCTATAAGTTGACCTCTGAACCCTTTACAGCTTTAAAACTCTTACATAATGATGCTAGTAGTCTACATTTAGCTAAGATTGCTCGTGAAAATCAAAAGTGTGAGATATATGTTGAGCATGGGGTAGATGAGCCTGAGGTGGTTGGTTTATGTTTGCCTGGGCCTAAGGATGATGGGAATGAAGCTGGATTAGTGGGTGAGGAAGAGGTGGCAGAAGCTGATATATTGGGTGAGAGATTAGGGGTAGAAGATGAAGTATTGGGTGAGGAAGGGGGGGCAGAAACTTCAGAAGATGAGCATGGTGGCAGTGAGGGTGAGGAAGAAGGGAGTGAAGTAGATGCTGATTATAGTGGCAGTGAGCATATAAGTAGTGACAGTGAAGGTGAGGAGACTACAAATAGGACTAAGAGGAAAAGGAAAATAGGAGTACAAGCTGAACCTATACCACAATCTGTGCCCACATCTGAAAATCCTTTAGTAGATGAGGCAGATTCTGTGTACTATGATTCACAAAATCCACCAACTGTTGAAGAAGACTTGGAGAATGAGGATGGGAATGAGGTTCAATCAAGGTACAATGATAAGTACCCTAAATATAACTCTAAATCTGATCCACCCTTTCTTGAATTAGGCATGTATTTTGATGATAATGTGCAGTTCAAACTTGCCATGATAAGTTATGCTATACACACCAAGAGGGATTTATTTTGGAAGAAGAATGGTTTAAAGTATGTTAGAGTGGAATGTCTTGGAAAGGGGTGTGGATTTCATGTGAGTGCAGGGTGGGAGGAAAGAACAAAGTGTTTTCAATTGAAAGCTATTCATTTAGATCATAAATGCAACAGTCAATTCACCTTAGGCATTGTTAGTAAAAAATGGTTAGAATGGAAATATGAAGACAAGGTTAGGCAGAATCCAACTATTGGGTATTCTGAGTTGAGCAAAGATATAAAGTCTGAGTTGAACCTCAATGTCACTGTTAGTATGTGCAGAAGGGCAATTACTGGGATTCTGAAGAAGCTTGACATAGGGTATGAGAGCCAGTTCAAAAGGATTAGGGATTATGCACAAGAATGCTTGAATTCTAACCCAGGCTCTACTGTGAAGATTCACACAACTAGCACTGTTCCTAATTCACCCTTGGTATTTCAGAGGATATATGTGTGTTTTAATGCAATGAAGAAGGGTTTTCTAGGGGTTGTAGGAAGTTTATTGGTCTAGATGGCTGCTTTCTGAAAGGTAAATTGAAAGGTGAGATCCTCTCAGCTGTGGGCAGAGATGGGAACAATCAAATGTACCCAATTGCCTGGGCTGTGGTAGAGATTGAGAATAACTCGTCATGGAGCTGGTTTTTGAATCTTTTGAAGACTGACTTGGAGATTGAGGACAGCACTCAATGGACTTTAATGAGTGATCAACAGAAGGTAAATCTGTTTCTACATTCAATATGTTTCTGTTTCTGTTTTCTATAATCTGTTTGTGTTTCTGTTTACTATAATCTGTTTCTTGTTTCTACAGGGGTTATCTACTGTAATTCAGGAACTATTCCCTGGTGTTGAGCACAGAAATTGTGCTAGGCATGTCCATGCCAATTGGAGTAAGACTCACAGAGGGATGGTTCTAAAGGGACTGTTTTGGCAGATTGCAAAGACCCCTAATCAAGCACTACTTACAGATAAGGTAAAAGCTTTACAGAAGGTAGATGCTGCAGCTCTTCATGATCTCAATAAGTATCCTATGAAATTTTGGTGCAAAGCTTTTTTCAAAGAGGAAGTGCGATGTGACATGACAGACAATAATTTGAGTGAAGCATTCAATAAGACATTGTTGGATGCAAGGAGTAAGAATATCATTCCAATGCTAGAGGACATAAGAGTTGCAATGATGAAGAGGGTTGCAAAGAAGAAAGCACTTGGTGAAAGATGGAATGGGAATTATGGCACTATTATTATGAAGAAGTTGAATGAAAACATTATTGGGAGTAAAGATTGGGAGGTGGTTTTCAATGGAGTTGATGGATATGAGGTGAAAAAGGGAAGGTTTCAATTCAAGGTCAATTTAGATTTGAGGACTTGTTCTTGTAGAATGTGGCAATTAACTGGTTTGCCATGTCCTCATTCCATTTGTGCAATATTTCACAAGGGGGATCAGCCAGATCAGTACATACATATATGTTACAGTAAAGAGATGTACATGAAGACCTATGAGCATGTACTACAGCCCATAAATGGAGAACAATTTTGGCCAAGGGCTGAAGGTGGTGAGTTACATGCTCCAGTTCCAAGGAAGATGACCGGCAGACCCAAGAAAAAAAGAAAGCTTGAACATGATGAAAAGAACAAGGATAAAAACAAAATAAGTGAAGAGGTTAGAAAGTTGTCAAGGAAGGGAAGGGTAATGACCTGTCAGCTATGCAAGGGGAAGGGGCACAACAAAAGATATTGTCCTACCCAACAAGGACAAGCTGGTGATTGACTGTTTTGGCAGTGACTTTTGGCAACATAAACCTGAATGACTGTTATGACTGTTTTGGCTTATGTATTCTATGTAAATCTGACTTATTCACTTGTGTAATGTACAATGTAGTATGACTTATGTACATATGGCTTATTGCCTTAATGCTTAATGATTTTTGGCACTTGTTTGGCAGTAACTTTTGGCAACATAATGCTTATTCACTTGTTTATGGCTTACTGATGTTTTGTATTGGTTTACTGTATTAGCCAGAAAACTGAATTTTGTATTGGTTTACTGTATTTTTTTTTAAACATCAATCTCATCTGCATCAACCTGCAAGAAATGGCTTCATCTCTAAAGTTGTAGATCCACCAAACAAATATCTGCACAGCAGGTCAGCTCAATAGAGCCTCATCCCTGCTGCCAGTACCACAACAAGCTGTAGACCCTCAGAGATTGTCCAGCAAACAATCCATCATTGGGTATTCATTCATTTCTCAATTGGGCAGAACAAGTCTCAGCTAAATCGACTTCATGGACTAGTTCCCCCGAACTTATTTCATACTGGCAATAGGAACTCCTTTTATCACCCTCAGCATACTGGCCATATGCATCATGGGGTGATATAAGGTGTCTCTTAGCTTTAACCACCCTCAAGGTGCTTGCAGAGGACTAAGCAGACTGGGGTGATATAAGGTGTCTCTTAGCTTTAACCACCCTCAAGGTGCTTGCAGAGGACTAAGCAGACAATTTGAATTAGTCTGCAATAATCAATTACTAAGCAGACAATTTGAATTAGTCTGCAATAATCAATTATTGCAGACTAGACTAAGTAGACTGCCAGGCAGATTAGAAGCTTACAGATTGTGTATTGCTTAGAAGCTTACAGATTGTGTATTGCTTAGAAGCTTAAAACTAGCAAGAAGCTACTAAATGGATATATAACACCTTCACTGAGGCTCGAACTCATAACTTTCCAAATGGAAGTCCAACTCGAGTACCATTAGACTACATAATCTTGATGGTATTTCATATCCACTTAGTAGCTTAAAATCATCACATTATTCTGCAAAATTGGGCAGAACTGGTCTCAGCAACAGCTTCCTAGACCAGTACTCCCATGATTGCTTTTAGAGCTTAAGACAGCTTCATCAGCTTGGTTACATGTATTGGTTTACTGTATTGGTTCCCCAATTTAGGTGGTTTGAGTTGCTTTAAGATTACAATTGGTTTACATGTTATGCACTACTGATTGTGGTCTGGAAATCAACAAGTTTGCCCAAGAATAGAATGGACTGGAATTCAGCAATTATGGCAACTATTCAAAATTGCAGAAATTTAAAATGGATTGGAAAATATGACAACAATTCAATGCAAGCTGGACTGGAATTCTGCAATTATGGCAGAAATAAAAAATTGCTTCATTGAACAATTATGGCAACAATGACAGTGCAGACTGGAATTCAATGCAAGCTGGAAATTGAAAGTGCAAACTGGATATTAAATTGCAAACTATCAATTTTTCATTACAATGCCAAACCATTACAATTTCTAACTACAAAGTTTTGCTAGAAGCACCACAATTACAATTAGGAGAACAACACACTTGATCCTCAACACTTCCTTTTCTTTTTTCATACCACAATACTCATTTACAATTAATTCTTTAACAACTTCGATTTCATTCCTCAAAGATACCACCATCTTCTTTAGATCTTCATGCTCACCTTCAATCCTCCTTGCACTATGATCATTCCAAAGGAAGAAGCCACAACCATTGCCATCCTATACATACAACTCAATTAACAAAATTACCCATAAAAAAAGTAAAAAATTACCACAATAAAAAAACCAATTAAAATGCCCCAAAAACGAACCCTAGCTTTAACTTTAATACAATTGAAAAATCAAAATTCATACAAAATTTCAATAAATACATACCTTCCATCTTTGACACCCAAAGAATTTCTTTCCCGATTCTCTACTTGTGCACATTGGAGCTTTCAATCCACAATTATAATAAACACTAGGCTCATACTCCATGTTTACTTTAACCCGTGATGAAGTTGAGGAAGATGACATCTTGGAGAGTGTGGCTTCGACGGAGGGAATGGAAACTGAAACTGAAATTGGGTCGTCGCCGACGGAGGAAACGGAAAACCCAGGCAGTCGTCTTCGTCTTCGTCTACAATACGTTTTTGAGATATGCAGAAAATGAATATTTTTTAAATAACCCAAATTCGTAGGAAACTGTTACATTTTAACGTCAAATAAGAGAATTTCGTACCTTTTATTTCCACGTCAGATTTTAACCGGAGCCACGTCATCTAAGCAACAGGGAAACCTGTTAAAAAGGCTAGGCGAACAATTTTTTTTGGTTTATGAATCAAATAATCACTTATATAAGATTAGGGTGCGGGATGACATTTCGTTGTTGGTTCAGGGTGCTATTTGACACTTCACCCTTTTACTTTTTACAACATTTATGAGAATGGTAGCAATTGAGTATATTGTTGAGTGCGTATTGAATTGGCCAATTGGTAATCGTCCTATCAAACAAAATATACACAAATTAAGAGACAATATATCGATTGAGGTTCAAATTTGCGACCTCCTATTGGGGAGAGTCACAGAAATAACATTGAACTACAAGCTACTTGACCACAAATTAAGTACATAATTAAACTAATTAAGTAAAACTTTTTAAACTTTTTCTAGTTTTCGTTTTTCAAATAGAAAACATTGTATTTTCTCTCTCTAAACCCTAGAGAGCCTTTTCCTCCCTAGGATTTTTGGGGCCTGTTTATTGTATTTGTGTTCTACGCTTTGCTCTCTGCTCAGTCTTAATCGTTCAGGATGGAGGACCTCACACAAATAGGCTACTATAACTTTGGAGAGTGAAGAAGAGGACATCTGCCCTTATGCCGAGGGAGTTGACTGCGGTCTTTGGGGCTCACCAACAAGCTTCACGGGTGATCGTGGACATATTTCTAACGGATAAGGCGATTAAATTTGATATCATGCGCAATGTTCTGGCTTTAGTTTTGCATCTGCTTATGGGGATCCAAGTTTCAAATGTGCAGAACAATCTTTTTCTGTTTGAATTTTTTGATAAGTCTAATGCTCAATGTACCTTGGACGAGGGACCTTGGGCTTTCAAGAATCGTTCTTTTGTGTCTAAACTTCTAGAGTTGAGCGATGTTTCAGATCTCATAGTGTTGAACTTATTGGATTATTGGTGTAAGTTTTTGATCTACCTCATGGGTATACGAATCGATTTCAAATGAAGGCACAAAGTGCTAATGTAGGATCGAAGGGGTAACCGTTTGGGGGAGGGGGGTCGATGCGAGCCGAATCGAGAAGGGGTGTGCGGGCAATAGGAGCACCATGGCTTGTTAAGGGGTTACATGCGAGGGGAATCAGACTGGCGAGTAAGGAGACATTCGATCGGGGGAAAGAGGACGTTATGTGAGGGGCGAGGATGGAGGCTATGGGGGTTTTAACATGCCCTAAACAAAGAAGCGAGGGGAGGGCAAAGGAAGGTGTGGAGATGGAGGAAGGGTAAAAAAACTTGATTTTGAAGGGTATTGGTTTCTAGAGTCGCCCATCCCAATGAGCGTTTTAAGTTAGAATTGTCATGGCTTGGATAATCCACATACAGTTTGTGAAGTACAGAGCTTGGTGTTTGCAAAGAAACCCGACATGATTATTTTGGAGACTAAAGTAGAGTGTGTTCATTCTAAAAAGCACTAGGTGAAGATGGGGTATGAGCGGGTTGTTTTACGTGAATGGCATCGGAATTGGGGGGTGCGGGGTATTGGCTTTTTGTGCTTCAGTAGGTTGTAAAAGTAGCTATGAACAGATACTACATTGTAACAGAGTCAGTAGTACTGAAAAAACGGATGATGTTGGTCTCGGTGGGGGTTAGAGTACAAGTTGGGGGGGGGGGGGGGGGGGGTTGAGTAGACTTGTTAAAATTTAAAAAATTGTTACGAATTGTTAAAGAACTCAAGAGGTAACTTTAACCTTTCGATGAGTATGCACAATAGAAATTATGTCAACCCCTTTTTAAAATTATTTGCACATAATTTGTTCTTGTGAAATGTTAGGTTTGTGATAATATGCAATGAAAGCAGTAAGTCAAGTAAAGAGAGAAGAGAGAACGATTTTATAGTTGTTCGGCCAACACAGCCTACTCCACTCTTCTCCTTGGAACTCATAGGAAGATTGCACTACCCCTTAGTACAATATTAGACGTTCAAGCCTTGAACACCAAGCTGGCCTTGAACTCCACCAGGTTTTCAACTCCTCACTGAGTTTACTCCGTCTCTTTCTACTTATACCGACTATCGAGTAGAGAATACAAATTTAAAGAAAATAATTCTTTCTCCAAACAATATGGAAGCAATTTCATCTTCTATCCTTGAAATCTTGCGCAGAGTAGCAACCAGATTGTCTTCAGTTGTAGCGACTACAGCTTGAAGAGGGGCAATTGAATTCTGAAGACTTGTAAGAGTAGACTGATAGTAATCAGCTTGTTGATAGAGAGAGACCAATTCTAGAGGATTGGATAGTCCTGATGCAAGTGCAGAGGCAGTGTCTACTGGAGCAGAGGAGGATCCTGAAGCAATTGGCTTTAGAGGAGGTACCGGAGTTGGTGGAGGTACTGACACCAGTAATGCTTTATCATCAAAGTGCTTGCCTAATATAGCTGAGAATCCATTGTGTATTTGCTTTGAATAGCATGAACAGGTTCATTCTCATAAGGTTAAAATCCATGGGCTTTTAACACCTCAAATATTAGACAAGGGAAGGGCAAGTGGATTTTGACATCCTTTTTGTTTGCGAAGCTCATGATGTGAGAGAAGATAATAGATCCTAGATCAAAATCCATTTGATGGCGTACTTTGTAGAGTATAGAAGCCATTTTCTTATAGACATAGTGCAAAGACACATTCGGTAGCCAGTTGCAAGAGGCCTGACGAAATAACATAACATAAACAGTTGTTAACAAATTGGAGGGAACATCATCCTTAGGCCAGACAGACAGCTGTGAGTGGGTCAGTGTTGATGCCAGCAAATCCAAAGCAAGATCAAAGGGTTCCTCAAGTGCTGTCCTGTGAAAATAGGAATTGATAATAAATGGACTGAAGTCATACCATTTATTCTAGACAAACACTTGGTGAAAATGAGGCGATGACTCCATGGTTGAATCAGTAATAAGGTTGGCATAGAATTCTGGAGTAAGCCACTCAGAATAGGAACCAACATCACGGACAGTTTGAAGAAGATTTTAATCCCAAAGAAGAGATACAACATTGCATTGAGCAACAAGATTATCCACGTCAATATCATTCTCCAATAACAGGTCGCGCTTTGAATGAATCTTCCATGTCTCCATAAGATTAAGGCTTTGTAAAATAGGTCTAAAAGGCTTGGTTTTTGAGGACTTTGGGGCAGACACTGGAGCAGGGGTAGGTGACTTTTTCGGCTGAACAACAGGTGATGATACACCAGTTCTGGAACGGGTTAGACAGACAGAATGAGTAGGGACAGATTTCTTTTGCTGTCTTGACTCAAAGAGAAAAATTACATCATCAAAATCATCAATGTTTCTCTTGGATGGAACAGAGGCAGGTTCTTCTAGAACATACATTTTTTCTTTTCCCTTTCGGGAAGACCTAGCATATGGAACCTGATAACAAGAACAGACTGACCAGAGTAAGGAACATTTGGCAATTTGGCTATAAGATCAGATAGTAGCTTTGCCTCAGATACTGGAATAGGCTGAATAAGGTAAAACAAAAAAATATGGGATGCAACTTGTCTTATAGAAAATCCAGTAGAGGATAAGCCAGAGACTGTAACTGGGGTAGAGGGTTCTGGACAAGTTCCAGACTGGGTGACAGACACTGATTTAGTTTGTGAAAGTTTTGATTTATCAGGCAGAGGACCAGAGTAAACGATAGTAGATAATGGAGATATGCAAACAACATCAGAATAACACATAGATGACATATTTAATGGAGCAAATAATGATCCCTTGAAGGGAATATGCGATTGAAGAAAAGAAGCATGCAAATTTATTGAGAAATTAGGGCTCCTAGACATGGATAGTGAGGTGTTGTTATCATTGCTCCAGAGGAGATTTTTGCAGCTTCAATTTTGGAATAAATTTGGGTTTCATCCTCTAATTCTGCGTCCATCACTGATAGTGGTTCGATTGTGATGTGCATCGCCATGATTAGGAGCTGTCGTGACTCCTTTGCCATAAGATCATCCATCAGAAAAGTGCTTTGCTTGAGAGTTGCTAGAGCCCCTTCCTCACTCGAATATATAAGAGGCGTTGTACCTTTAAGGATTTGACGGAATAACTCGATCCTCTCATCGGCGGTGACATAAAAGATGGAACGCAAAGAGAAAGCTACAAACAACACTTTTAGTGATGCTGAGCCTACTATAAAAAACTCTACTACGTTTAAGGAAACTAACGGCGGGTACTCAGGAAGTACAGAGACAAATCATAATAGAGGCAAAGAGACTTTTGAGGTGATACAGATAGGGGTAGAGAAATGGCAAGTAATGGAGGCATTTAATGCACAGCATGGGGGAAGTTATTATCCAATGGGCAATGCTCCATTACTCCTTAGAGGTGTGATTAGGAAAGAGAAAATGGGATGAAAGATGAAAAAACAAAACAATGCTGAAATTTTTAAAAAATCTGATTAGTGTGATTAACGCGCCCAGTTGGCGCATGCAGTGCACGTGCCAGGCTGGACGCGACTTTGGTCTTCACGCGGCATTGAATGCCCAGTCAATTAAAATGCTGGGACCCACAAAATTGCAAAAACCCAATGCCTTGCAGGATGTCTTTTTTTCTCTCTCCACATTCTCACTCTTCCACATCACATTACATTTCTTAAAAATCGTGTAAACACTTTGCAAAATCTACTAATCTAGATGCCTTTATTCCCTTGTCACGTACTTTGGAAATACAGGAGGTGCCCATAATTCAAAATTACAGCTCAATAACCAGACTTCAAAAGGGCTTGGGCAAAGTGAGGAAGACTTTGATGGGTCGGATCAGAAGAGAAAGAGAAAGGAGAGAAGTAATGTTGACCAGGCGCAATTGAGGGAAATGGAATATGAAGAGGATATCTCGGAGATTTCAAAAAACTTGCTAGCAGCGGGTAATGCGGCGTAGGCCCGCCTAACCCAATGAGTTTCATATCTTGGAACTGTCGGGGACTCAACAATCCCGCATTCAAGTCTTGGTAGATTCCACACTAAGAAGCCACTTTTTTTAATGGAAACTAAGCTTTGTTCAGACAGGTTGGAGGATATCAAAAAAAGATTGGGCTTGGATTTATTGTTCATAGTGGATAGCGTAGGATTCAGTGCTAGACTAACCCTCATTTGGAAAAGAGAGTTGGAGGTTAATATTATGGGCCACTCTACTAACCACATCGACACTATTGTAAAATAATCGGCGGAGTCCCCTACGTGGCACTTCACCAGCTTCTATGGTAATCCCGAAAGTCATCAACGGAGGGTGACCAGGGAGCTCCTAAAGGATCTATCTACCAACAATTCACTCCTTTAGATGCTGATGGGAGATTTCAATGATGTTCTTAGTTTGGAAGAGAAGCTCTGTGGTGCTCAACAACCCTTTTGGCTCATGCAAGGTTTCAAGGATGCGATCAAATTTAGTGGATTGAGGAATTTTGACTTCAAAGGGTACCAATACACTTGGGAACGAGGTAGAGGTATCGCTAATTGGATTAGAGATATACTTGACCGATTCTTATCAATGATGGTTGGCTGGATTGCTTTGTGGAAGCTTCTGTTGAATCTTTCGAGGCTCCCTTAAGCAACCATATTCCACTTGTTGTCTGGCCAGCACCTATACATCAGACTAGAAGAAGAAGAAAATTCATGTTTAAAAACTATAATATGGAAATGGGGCAAAGAAATTAATCGGAATTTACAACCACAAATTGCGGCACTCAAAAGACATATGGGCATCCTTCGTTGTAGAACAGACAGTCAAGGTGCGTGGGAATTCTCAAATGCTCATCAACAATTTCTCAATCTTTGGACAAGCAGAATATGTAATGGAAACAAAGGGCCAAGTTATTCTGGTTTCAAGGAGAAGACAACAACACCAAATTTTTCCACAATGCGATGAAGCAGAGGAGAAGAAATAATGACTTTCAAAAACTCAGAAATCACACAGGAAGTGGATCACTCAGGGACCAGAACTAAATTCATTGGTAAGGAATTACTTTACTATGATTTTCTCCAGTAATGCATGTGATTACAATCATGTCCTTAATTTTGTTAATCATAAGGCTTTAGCTAACAGGCTGAAACTCTTACTGAATGACAATGTCTCGGATAACCAAATTGGTTTTGTTCCGGGTAGGCTAATAACTGATAACATAATGATTGCATTTGAAATGTAACATTATTTGAAAAGAAAAACTCAAGGGAAGGAAGGCTATGCAACTCTCAAGTTGGATATTAGCAAAGCTTATGACATATTGGAGTGGTCCTTATTGCGCAACATCATGATCAAATGGGCTATAATATAATGAAAAATGTGTTGGTCTTGTGATGGAGTGTGTGTCTTTGGTGGAGTATTTTGTGTTAGACCAAGGGGAAGAAATTGGGCATATTAAACCGGAGAGGGGGCTGAGGCAAAGTGACCCAATTTCCTCATACTTGTTTATCATTGTGACAAAGGGGTTCAATGCGATGATAAGAGACTATGAGAGGAGTGGTAAACTTCATGGTATCTCAGTTGCAAGGAATGCCCAGTTGATTAGCCATCTTTTCTTCGCAGATGACATCTTTATTTTCTTCAAGGCTAATGTAGAGGAAGCAAAAGATTTGAGACACCTCCTCCAAGTGTATGAGAAGGCAACTGGACAGTGTATGAATATGGAAAAATCTACTCTTGCATCCAGTGGTAATACAACTTTGGATATGAGGAATAGGTTGGGGACTATACTGCGGATTCAACAAGGGAGTGGTATGGGTAATTATCTAGGTCTTCCCTTGATGGTTGGTCGAAACAAGAAAGAGACAGTAAGCTTCATAAAATAGTGGATAATCAACTGTATCAATAATTAGAACCACAAATTTATCTCTAAAGCAGGCAGGGAGATATTAATGAAAACTGTCCTCCAAGCACAACCCACGTATGCCAGAGGGGTTTTCTTAATGCCCAAAGTTCTTGTTAAGGAGGTAGAGAATGTTATGAATTCATATTGGTGGAAAGGTGGTGGAGGCAACAATAGAGGCATCAATCGGAAGCCAGGGAAACATTTATACATACCCAAAAAATGGGGAGGTCTTGGCGTTAGGAATCTCTATGAATTCAACCTCGCTCTTCTTTACAAACAGGCTTTGAGACTTTATCAGAATCCTGATTCTCTAGTTTCTAAAGCTAGGGGGTTGTTTACTAAAGTGGAAAATTGGAGAATTTTTCAGAAAAATAGAAAAATGGGGAAGTGGAAAAATGGAAAATGAAAAACTTGTTTACTAAATTTCTTTCTCCCATTTTGTTTTCTATCTCCAGTTCTTTCGTAAATGGAAATAGGTCGGTGAATAGTGTTATCTTTGTTTGAGGTCTCAAGGTCAAATCATGCAATCATTATTGTGTGGATCAAGGTCCACACAAATTGCGTGGACCATATTTTGTCTACTGTAAAATAATGTACATTCAATACAAAAATAATGTATATTCAGTACAAAAATAATGTACATTATATTCAGGGGATGTACATTATTTTTGTTCTGAGTGTACATTATATTATATAGTGTACATTCAGTACAAAAATAATGTATATTTAGTATATTAAAAATGTACCTTTTGTTATAGTTCACGTAACATTGTGTGGATCATGGTCCATACAATAATTTACCCAAATCATGTAGGTAATTTCTTCTTTCATTGTTGTTTGTTCCCCATTCTTCTCTCTCTCCTTTTTTTTTTTTTTTCCTTTTTTCCTTTTTTCCCCCTTATCTTTTGCTTATTATTATTACTAGTAGGTGCACCCGCGCGATGCGCGGCTATATATATAGTATGATATATATACAGTATAGAATATAGTTATTTGAACCTGTAAAAATGTGAAATGAAAAGTTGTGATTTTATTACACATTGATGAATATAGTAGTTTTATTATACATTAAGGGAAACTACCTATATAGTACATAGAATATTACGTATAATATAATAAGAATAAGAAACATAATAGGAAACGTATTATTTTGCACAAATCCTAAATTTTAAATAATAAATTCTTGAATGTTATTATACATTATTGAAGACTTCTTTGTACACAACATTTTTAGTCGTACTAAGACATGGTACACTTTCCCCGCAAATCAAAATTTTCAAACCCCTGGGGTTACTAACTCTTGAAACAGCTACGTATAGTTGTCCATGGTTAAAGACCGGTTTTTTCAACAACAACCCAACTTTAGCAAGCGTTTGTCCTTGACTTTTGTTGATTGTCATGGCATAAGATAGCATCAAAGGAAATTGCTTTCGTTGAAATTTGAAAGGCAATCTTGGATCTGACGGTGTAAGTGACATCCGAGGAATCAATACTTTGGTTCCTACATTTGTACCGCACATGATTTTGCCTTCCAACACATGGTCAGCCAACCTTGTAACAATCAACCTTGTACCGTTGCATAATCCTAATGTGTGATCAATATTTCGCAATAGCATAACAGGTGATCCAACTTTCAATGTCAATGCATGATTTGGTACTCCAGAACATCTCAAGGCATTCAAGAATTCGGGAGTGTGCAAATCCGCTAACATGTCAACATTGGCATCTGACTTACACACAGAATCACAACTCAAGGATTATGATCATTCATGTATTGGTTAACGGCATCTACCACATCCAATGTTGGAGCTAAAATTGCACTATGATTAAGATATGACAAATCGGCAATTCCCAGTCGGAAATTGGGGAAAGTGCTATCAACAATTGTAGCAATAGGGTCATCTTCGCACTTCAACAACAAATCTTCTGGAACAGTAATCTCTGACTCCCCCTCAAGTTGACACCCAATAATTCCATCACCTATATTAGCTATCCATTTTGCAAATTCCTCGATGTCCTTGCACTCGGTTTCGGATTGAAAACTCTTCAAACGTAGATTCTTAGTCAGCCTTAGTACTTTACAGGATTTCCATAGGTAGGATGAGCTAATGCTCGCTCTAACTATATCCGGTCTAGTACCCTTTGGAATGACTGGTAAAATTTGCCTGAAATCGCCCCCCAAAACAACTGTCTTACCACCGAATGTCATATCTGAACTCATTGGATTTATGAAGCGCATCAAATCCCGCATAGTTCGATCCAGGGCTTCAAAGCAGAATTTATGCATCATGGGGGCTTCGTCCCATATTATCAACTTTGTTTGCACAAGAAGTTCCGCCAGTTCACTGCCGGTACGTATGTTACATGTTGAATCTTCATTAACAGAAATCGGAATTGCAAACCGAGAATGTGCGGTCCTGCCACCGGGCAATAAAAGCGAAGCTATGCCACTCGAAGCTACATTTAACACTATTTGACTCTTAGACCTTAATGCGGAAGAAAGTGCTCGCCACAAGAAAGTCTTACCTGTCCCTCCATAACCATAAACGAAGAATAACCCCCCTTCCTGGCGATCCACGCCAGTTAACACTTCATTGTATATTGCGTTTTGTTCGTCTGTTAACTGTCTTACCAATTCTTGATTCCCTTTCTCCTGTTCGGCACAATCGTATGCTAATTCTTCTTGAATAAATCTGTTTGCAATAACATTTAAGGCACCAAAATTTGCAGTTGGCATCTCAGGATAGTCCTTCAAACTCTTACCATGATTAGATAATAGCTTCTCAATCTCTACTAAAGCAAAGTTCATTTTGTGCGAATCGGTCAACACAAAATCTGCATAAATATATATAAAAATTTGATGTTATAACATGAGTACGTTAAACTTGACTTAATATTTTTAATAAAATGTACGATTACCTTTGTTCTGCAGTTGTCTACGGACGTTGAATTGTGCATCGTCTGATAGATGTTGCCAAACGGCATGCCAAACTATTTCCGGTTTCCCCATGCAACTGCTCATTAGCAATGTCACAAACAATCTCCTCAATTGATCTGCTGACGCCCAATGACTGGCTTCATCTATTGCATCAACATATTCGTTGTCATCATCAACTAAACCCCTTGCATAACACGCATATCGGAATGAGTCATATTGCACCCCATTTACAGTCATAATATCTTCATAACTTTTCGGGCCGCGGACTTTGTTCAGCAAACACCTCAAATAGAAAATTTCACCAGTAGCTGGTGGGACATAGAATATACGTCCTATTGAGAACCCTTTCTTTCGTGGCTGCCATTTTCTAAGGTCTTTCTTCCAAACGAATCTTGTTGGCATCTCAACATAAGTAAGCTCTCTCGCCTCGGAGTATGTTTTATTAGCTTCGAACCATTCTAAAAACATGCTCTGTGCTATCGTAGGTCTATTCACAATGTTCTCAACAGCATCATCATATGCAAATATCACACTCTGTTGATTAGGAAGGTGAAAGCTTAACCTTTCCACCGAAGGCGCCCGAAGTTGTATATCAAAACCAAACAGACGCCAGACCGCTTCACACGGGGATATGTACCTACAGTCATAGTACATGTTTATCTCATCTATTGCTTTGCCATTCTCGTCATCATTGCCTGTTTTGTAAAACTCGGCGGTTACTCGATCATGACCCTTGTTAACATACTTGAAGAGGTACTTGATTGACCGTGACTGGTTGCACCACTCGACATTTATATGAGCCTTGTACTTGAGCAATAAATATCTATTGTGCGATACCACATACCTGTTGTCCAAGGCGATACCGTTCTTTGTAACTACACTGCCATTGTCTTTCCTTCTATATACCGGGTAACCATCATCATCAAATGTAGAACTACCAACAAATCTCTTAGGAAAATGTTTAGAGCATCGCCCATTTACAGTATAGAATATAGTTATTTGAACCTCACAAAATGTGAAATGAAAAACTTGTGATTTTATTACACATTGATGAATATAGTAATTTTATTAGACATTGTTGAAGACTTCATTGTTGAAACAATGTGATGCATGGCTACCTATATAGTACATAGAATATTACGTATAATATAATAATAATAAGAAACCTAGTATTTAAAAAAAATACTAAATTTTAAATAATAAATTCTGGAATGTTATTATACATTATTGAAGACTTCTTTGTACACAACATTTTTAGTCGTACTAAGACATGGTACACTTTCCCCGCAAATCAAAATTTTCAAACCCCTGGGGTTACTAACTCTTGAAACAGCTACGTACAGTTGTCCATGGTTAAAGACAGGTTTTTTCAACAACAACCCCACTTTAGCAAGCGTTTGTCCTTGACATTTGTTGATTGTCATGGCATAGGATAGCATCAAAGGAAATTGCTTTCGTTGAAATTTGAAAGGCAATCTTGGATCTGACGGTGTAAGTGACATCCTAGGAATCAATACTCTGGTTCCTGCATTTGTACCGCACATGATCTAGCCTTCCAACACATGGTCACGGATTTTATTCAGCAAACACCTCAAATAGAAAAGTTCTCCAGTAGCTGGCGGGACATAGAATATACGTCCGATTGAGAACCCTTTTTTCCGTGGCTACTATTTTCTAAGGTCTTTCTTCCAAACGAATCGTGTTGGCATCTAAACATAAGTAAGTTCTCTTGCATCGAGGTATGTTTTATTTGCCTCAAACCATTCCAAAAACATGTTCTGTGCTATAGTAGGTCTATTAACAATGTTCTCAACAGCATCATCATTTGCAAATATCACACTCTGTTGATTAGGAAGGTGAAAGCTTAACCTTTCCACTGAAGGCGCCTTAAGCTGTATATCAAAACCAAACAGACGCCAAACCGCTTCAGTATATTTTTACATCAAATTATTTCCATCTCCAATCCATTACACCAATGTTATTTTATAATTTTTACTAAACAAATATACTAAATATAATAAATTCTTGGGTCAAACTTTATTTCTTTCATTTTTTTCTTCTAAATAATCTGACCCAAAACTAATCCAATAATGTAGCACATAACCCGAACCCAATAAAACAATTAATAAAATGTTTTCTCCTAACCCTAAAACTATCTCTAGGCAAATTATTGTGTGAACCATGGTCCACATAGTGCTGTATGGACCATAAAAGAAAGTACATTTTTAATATATTAAAACGTACATTATTTTTGTACCGAATGTACATTATAAAAATAATATATTTGTAGTATTCAAATAATGTAATTTCTCTAAATACAAAGTACATTTTTAATATTCTAAAAGTACATTATTTTTGCACTAAGTATACATTATTTTATAACATACAAAATATGATCCACATAGCTTCTGTGGACCATAGTCCACACAATAACGATTGCCATCTCTAAGTCTCTTCACCAAATTTTACACCATAAGGAATATTCCTTGTATATTCTTATATCATTTTTTTTTCTATCTCCAACCCATTACACCAAATTTTATTTCTTTACTAAAACAATTTATTTTTTCATAAATTAAGACTTTGTATTAAAAGTACTTTTAATATTTTAATATAAAATATGATTATAATGTAAATACTATTTTACTCCACAACAATAAATCATAGAACATCCATTAAACCATTCAAGATTATTACCTCTTCGTTATTGTTAATCTATTAAGTTTAATTTAACAAATTGTCAAAAGTTATTCTTAAAACCAAGAGTTATTTTGGCTAAGCCTCCTCAGAATCTGCAACCAAGTGTGTGAATAGCATTTAATACGATTGTAATTGTCTTATGGCTCTAAACGGTAGCTTTTTATTTGGGGGGAAATTGATTTGCAAGAAGTTGTTGCTTTATTATAGAGCTAGTAGTTGCACCCGTGTGATGCACAGCTATATATATATATATATATATATATATATATATATATATATATATATATATATATATATATATATATATATATATATATATAGAATATTTCGTATAATATAATAAGATGAAAAAATATACAATTTTAAAACTAATAAATTTGAAATGATCAACTATGAAATTTTATTACACATTGTTAGAAAACTTCTTTTGGACATAACATTTTTTAGCGGTACTTAGACATGGTACATGTTCGCCACAAATCAAAAATTTTAAACTTATTGGATTACTAACACTTGAAACAGCTACGTACAATGTAGACTTTCTATTTAACAAAAGGGTTTAAATGATTATGTTCCTTAAATCATTATTTTACTATGCCTTTTGAATCACATTTTTTTTTCTATTTTTTAACTTTGGTGGTATGTACTTAGTATTTTGCTTTCTCATATGGAGCATAATTAGTATTTTTCTAGATATTGTCTTGTGCGATGCACGGGGTAAATACAATTTTAATAAAAATAAAGTGTTATTGTGCAAAAAAGTAAAAATATTATTGGCAGAAAAAATTAAATTACAAATTATAAAAATCCTCTTTATAAACTACATCAGTAAGTACAATTATTTTATGTTTCGCCACAAATTAATATCTTAAGACCGTCTGAGTTACTTAATCTGAATACAGCATCATATAACTGTCCATAAACAAATACGGGTTCATTTTCTACAAACACAATCAAATAAAATTTTTAAAAAATTGAAATAGTACAAACTATATATTATATAAAAATCTCTAATATAAACACTATCTATTAATTAATCTCTATAATTTTTTTATATATTTCTATATACAAATATATATATATATATATATATATATATATATATATATGTGTGTGTGTGTGTGTGTGTGTGTGTGTGTGTGTGTGTGTGTGTGTGTGTGTAATATATAATATAGATTATATATATAAATAATATATGCATTACACCTCAAATGTCAAATTTATTATGCAGGTTACACGTGCACACACATCATTTCAATATATATATATATATATATATATATATATATATATATATTATATATATATATATATATATATATATATATAAAACAAAAATGAAGGGTCAGGAAGCTTTGTGTTCATTTCTTACCCGGAATATCTCACACAGACATTTCTCTTCCTCACCATCGCTCTCTCTCTCTGCATCTATCTATCTATTACCTCTATGTCTCTATATTACTTGATTTTCCAGATTTGTGATGCAATCATTGTTCAAGCATCACAAATTTGGCAATCATACTACCATAAATCTAAGCTAACAGTGAAGACGAAGGCTGCTACCATCATCGTTGTAAGTATAATCCTTCTATGCAATCTATCTAATTCGTTTAATTTAGCCAAGCATTTGTAGATTATGTTTATGAATTTCTTCAATTTAAAGTCTAAGAAGACATAATCTATGAAGATTTTACCCGATTTGTGCATTAGGTTCACTTAATTGTCTGTCTAGGGTTTTTTTTTTTTTCTTTAAATTTTGCAATGCATGCGTTGTTAGGCTAATCTATTTAACTTTTCCAGTACTTGGGTGGGGATTAAATGTGTTGATTGTTGTTGATGGTGGATTTTTTTTAAATTTTTTTTTGCAGAATGAGTAGCTTCATACATTCGAGCATGAAGAAAGCTAAGTATCTTCTACATTGATTTGTTTAATTTCAGCCTAGATTTCATATACATGTTGTGTACTGATACAAACAAACAAACAAAAAAAAAAAAAGATCTATTGAAAAATAGTCATTAAGTACTATTGAAAACTAATAATTGCTATGGCTTATTAATGTCCGACTACTGTTTTGTAACAGTATATTTCCAGGGACCAAATGGCTTATTTGAAGGAGGTTCAAATGGCTTGGCACTTGAAATGTCAAGTAAGTGTTCTTAAACTTTAAATTAAGTAATACTTATTTTTAATATTATGCTTTTTTTCATACTTAAATTTTAAATTAAGTATGACTTATATTAAGCTCTCTTGTCCCTTGGACTTATATTAAGTTCTCTTATTTTTATTGGATTAAAGATTCTACTTTAATTTTATAGTAAAAAGTAATTGTGTTACTTAATATGATATCTTAATTATATTTACAGGTTATGCTCTACAGTGTTAAGTTTATGCAATCCATCCTCAGTTACGAAAGTAAGTTTTCCTAACCTGCTCATTATTCATTTTCTTTTAAGACCTAGGACAGTATGTAACTTGTAGAACTCTCAATGCATTGATAATTTTTTTTTTGTTTTGTTTTAGCTATGCAATAGTTATCTATGTGTATGAATTTTTACACAAATCTGTTGAGTATATACATTAATTTTGACTGTTTAAGTTGTACTGACAGTATGTAACTGGTATAATTCTCAATGCATGATTAGTTGTACTACAATATTTCTTGTATTAGGCTTAAAATAGACTTTGTTGTTTGTAATGAAAAAAAATACTCTTTATTTCTTCAAATAAAAAAAAATTACAGCATTCTAATTAGTATGCTTCCATCTTTCAGTCAATTCGTTTAGGGTTTCTTATGCATGACTGTTGTCCAATTCGAAATTGATCAATTTTTCATACTGTAATCTCTTATCCTTAGTAAGAATAGTTAAGCATGCAGATCGATTCTCATAGATAAAATCTCTTAATTTCAGATTTGTATGATTCACCGCAATTAGGGTTATAAATTGTGTTCTTTTTAATGCTGCTCTAAAAACACCAGATTGAGAAGTTACGGTTAAGTGCGTTTTTTTCATGTGCTAAATGCTATAAATATATTATTATTCACACAAACACTCACCTATAATCTACTTTTTGAGGAGTAATCTCTAATCTATTTTTCATACTGTAATCTCTAATCTATTTTTTTTTATGGACATACTGGAGTTATTGGAGGAGATGGAGAGCATAAACAGAATCGAAAAGCAATAGGGATGCAAAAATGAAGCTTCATTTAAAGTATGAAAAAAGATAAGTTTCGAACTTACCTTTATTTTGCTCACTTGGTTTCCTTTTGATGCCTATAATTGTTGACTTAGTAATCTTCTTCATTGCACTGTCTATTGTGTGTACTTGCAACTGCTAATGTCAATTGTCTCTCTGGCTGAGGTCTCAAACTGGAAAACTATTTTTGTAGTTAGATGGGGCAGCTATCAGTAGATTGGTTCATTGTAGCAAATTTATATTTTTTCAATGATTTTGCGATTCGAAGTGGAACTGAAGGGTTTTCTCTTAATAGTAATGATAGCTGGCCATCAATTATATTTAATATCTAAAGAATGTTTTACTTTCCCTAAGAATGATTAGTTTTTACTTCACAGCCCAATAATTCCATTTTATTCACATTCTGTATATAAGTTTGTAGAATATTGAACACATTGCTTCTTTGCTTCTAATTGTCTAAAAATCTTTTTTGTGCCAGTGTATCCTTTCCTTTTGGTGTTGTTCTTTAATATTGGACACACAATTTCTAACCTGTTTTTATTTTTTTCTTATTTTGTTGAGGATGGAATAACCAAAGCTCTGGATACATTGAAGAGAATGAAGCCGAAAATAAGACATCAATCAAAGAAACTAAAAGCAGCATGGTGATCTAAGCAAATAGGTTAACATTTTACATTTATTTTCCTGACTTTAGATTAGTTTTTAACAAATTGTTCTCAATTTTAGACCCAGTTTATATACATCAACTCGGACCTTTATTTGATTGTTAGATGAATATACCATTAATCCAAAACTTTTTGGAATTCTTTGTTTCAGCTATCAGTCTTCTAGTAACTTAAAGTATCCAATTTGCATTAGTTAGTGTATTTAATTGTTGTATATAAGTCATTATATAGAACAATTAAGGATAAGTTAACATTAAATTTTATTGTATCCTTCCCTTTATAAATATCTCTAAAAATGTTTTTTGTGCCAGTGTATCCTTTCCTTTTGGTGTTGTTCTTTAATACAGTGATACAATTTCTAACCTGTTTTTTTTTTTTCTTTGTCTTATTTTGTTGAGGATGGAATAACCCAAGCTCTGGTGGAATTGTAGAGAATCAAGCAGAAAATAAGACATCAATCAAAGAAACTAAAAGCAGCATGGGGATCTAAGCAAATAGGTTAAGATTTTATATTTTTTTTCCTGTTCTTTAGATTAGTTTGTATGCATATAATTGCATAGTTTGTAAGTTTGTTCATTTTAGTTTGCAAGGCAATAGAAACTTTTAATTAAACAGAATTTTGTTAACAAATTGTCCTCAATTTTAGACCCAATTCATATACTTCAAATTGGCCATTTCTTTGATTGTTGGATGAATATACCATTAATCCAATACTTTTTGGAATTCTTTGTTTCAGCTATCAGTCTTCTAGTGTATATGTATAAGTCATTCTATAGAACAATTAAGAGCTTTGGTAGAGTAATGAAACTATTTAGATACATAAATAATTCCTGAAGCTTAACCTAAGAGCAGTACTTACTGTATTATTTAAATTGCACCACATTTAAAAATATTTCAAAAGTTAAGGATGTTTTCCAAATTTTTTTGACTTAGATTTTTTTTAAAAATTTGCTTTTTTTTTTTATTCTATATCACAGCAGATTAAAGTTAGGTGTAGTATCAAAGTATTTCTTCTAATTTAAGGATATTCTAACAGATTGGGTGTTTCTATGCTACTGTGCTTTATTGGAACCAATAGATTTGGTAGATTAAGAATCAGGCACTACCCTATGATTAGTAGTTTGTTTCTCAATATGGATTCTTTGAAAGCTTAACCTAAGATTAGTACTTAGATTCTGAAGTTGAACAATTTTATTGTTAATTTTAGTTAACTTTATTTTGTATTACAAAGATTTCACTTAAGTGATGTGTATTAATTCATTTTCATATGTGCTAGCAGTTTTGGTGGACACCAGCATGGACCAAAATTGGATTTGAGAGTTGCAAACACAGTAAAAGAAGAACTTGCAAATAGGTGAGTAAACCTATCTTTATATTTTAGGCACAAGTTATTTAGTTCTAAGAGGTTATACTTGTATTAGAAAGTTTTAAAAAGTTCTTGCCATTCAATGTTCTTAGTATCTTTACACAGTTTTATAGGAGAAGTTTAATATCTAATGGAACCTATACAAAACTACATCTACAAAGTATAAGTTCCTTGCCAAATTTTGTCCCATGTTTCTGCATTTTAAAACCTTGAACCTTGATCATCCTTCCCAATCACCTGAAATGGAAGTTAGAAAATTTGCAAAACAGGTTATAATAGTAGCAGTAGAGGCACCAATATATGGTAACAATGAGTTAGGCAATATGGTAACAATGAGTTAGGCAATCTCATCAAGACAGTAAACCATAATTAGAAAATATCCCAAAAATAACCTTTAAAAATGAGGGATCAACAGGATTAGAACTAAAAATATTGTTTAGAGATCATCAGGATTAAATAAACCATAATAAGAACAAAAAAATCAGTCTTTAAGTCTAGATAGGGCAGGTCCACAACAATCAGTTTCAACCAAGGTCACAATTACATTTTTTCCTTTTTAATTTGTGCTTCCTTCAACTTCTTCCTACTTTTGGATGATGAAAACTCATCCAAAAGTGACCTTTTAATATCTCCTGAGTTGTCAGCATTGTCATCTACTTCCTTTTGTGAGGCTTGAATAGAGGCAGGACTATTAACTTCCACTCCAATAGAGGCTTCCTATTATTAACAAAATCAGTAAACCAATTTAGCCACCATCATAAAAAAAAAAAAAAAAAAAAAAAAAAAAAAAAAAAAAAATTCTAGAGCAGAGATTGCATCACTGTTTGTTTCCTCCTCAACCACCCTTCCAATCACATCTGCCAATTTAACAAAATATTAGAAAACACTACTAAAAATAGATTAAGGAAGATATTAGTAGTTAAAAAAGTAAAGATAGTACCAATCAATTCCTTGTCATTCACATCAGCAGGATCTTTCAAAGCCAAAAAACTCTTTAGCCGAAACATTTTGCAAGGAAAGCCATTAGAATGTATCTCCTTCACTTGTGTTCTATAGTTGAATTTGATTAGGAAGTCATGTTCCGTAATCTTGTAGACATAGTAGTTTGTAGAAGCCATGAAGTTCTTGATTTCAAATACTTTCCCTTCTTTGATTATATCTCTATACTTTCCAATGTCCTTTTAATAATACTGGCATGAATGTAGTCTCCCTGCGAATAAAATAGACAAAAAATTTTACACAGCAAAAGATCATTAGGTTAGTAGATAGCATATCATGAATGTAGTCTCCCCGGCAAAAACCTAAAAAAAATTTATACACATTTATAGACCATTAGATTTGTAGATAGCATGAATATGATTTTTTGAAAATAAAGAACACTACCTCTTCATCATGGAAAAATACTTCCATGCTCTTACTGGCCTGCCCTTCTCCCCTTTTCTCAGGCACTTCATAGACCCTTACTGCTCTCACCCGGATTGCCCTAAGCTGGTGTTTCGGCTTGATATTCTTGACAGCAATGAACATGCTTGGCATCTTGACAGACCAATACTATTTCGAAAAGGAAGTAAACTGAACTTAATGTGTGAAGGATTTTTGCCATGAAGAACCGGGGTATTTATACAGGTTCATAATTCAAATTTACCATTGATTTTGAGCAGCAGCCAATGTTTTGGAATTCGCACATCTCATTGAATGTGTATTTGCATATTGCAACTCTGCATATTCCGTGTAATATATATAATATTCTCTTGTTATTTACTTGCATGTATCTTCGAAATTGTAGGCCCGATGCCTTTCTAATATTTATTTTGGTTAAACTTCCAAGAGTTCTACATTAATTGAACTCCTTGGGAACCAAGGAGTGTATGCTAAGTTAATACGAATAGTTGCCTTTTGAAAACGGCTGTGCGTACTACCAATGCATAATCACATAACACGCGCAGAACAAATAACCTCTTAGATGGATAAATATTAATAAACCAAAACTGCGTCGTTTTCATTGGGCGGGAAACAATGATTGACAAAACTTCTTGCTTTATTATAGAGTTAGATTAGATTATTATTATTATTATTATTATTATTATTATTATTATTATTATTATTGTTGTTGTTGTTGTTGTTGTTGTTGTTGTTATTGTTATTATTATTATTATTATTATTATTATTATTATTATTATTATTATTATTATTATTATTATTAACTTTGTTGTAGAAATGTATAAATGCTATATGAGATGATTGTATTTAATAAAATAAAAAAAAATTAGAGAAATGAAAAACTGGAGGAATGGAGAATGAAAATTAGAAAACTGGAGAAATGGACAAATGGAAAATTGGAAATGAAAAAAATAAAGAAATGAAGTAAACGACCCCTAAGTATTTCCCAGATTCTTCGTTCATGGAAGCCAAACCAGGAGCCAACCCATCCTTCATATGGAGTAGTTTGATTGCAACTCAGGATATTATTCGCAAGCATACGAGGTGGAGAATTGGAGATGGTAACCAGATTTGCATTTGGGGGGATAATTGGCAACCGGATAAGTCTAACTCAAATGTAATATTTTTTTCCCTTCCCGTTCATGGAGCACTCTAAAGTTGCAGACTTAATAGTTCCCACAACTCACAACTAGGATAAAGGCATCATTAAAGACATATTCACTCACAGAGATGTTGAGCTCATCATGAACATCCCTCTTCCTAGACAGCTGATTCAAGATAAGTAAATTTGGGGACTAGAAGAAGACAACAGATTCTCTGTTAAGAGTGTTGTGCAACGAGTGTGAAATGTCATAGTATTGACTACTTTAATTTGGGCTGGAAGGAAAAAGGACTCGGAGTAAGCTAAATCGGAGCTCTCACCGGCTTGTTGACGGAAGACGGCCGGAGGGATTAAATCGACTAAAAACAGTTATTTTCAGGGACCAAATCGATGAATAAACGATTGACGGGACTACATTGACAATTCACTAATAATTCAAAGACCAAATCGTTGATTTTCTCATTATATTAAACAATATTTATTTTAACTTATAGTGATTATCCTTTACTTATTTTCTTTAGTTTAACACATTGATCATTAGTAAAAAATCACGAGTTTTTTTTTATACACTAATTTAATTGTTATAATTATAATATAAAAACAAAATTAGTGTTGTTGTTGTTATTATTATTATTAAAAGATTAAAATATTAGGAAATATTTTGCAATGACTCGGTTAAGAATAATAAAATGTTAAAAAAATATTTCGTTTCTAATGTTTGTATATAAAGGGAAAAGCTAAAAAGGAAAAATGATAAATTTAGAAATATCTTTGCATTGTGCAAAGAAGAAAAAATCAAAATATTCAAGTTATCAATGCACTTGATTACATTTTGTGTTTAATAATACTTTTAATGTAATTTTTAAATATATAAATTTTGTATACTAATACTAAACTTAATATTATAAAAAACTAAATTGAAAATAACTGGCAATTTATATCTTACACCACAACGCGCGTTGCACTTTGCGCCCAGATACAAAACGACGTCGTTTTAATTTTTTTAATTTTTTTTTTTTTTAGAAATTTCGCGCCCTAGTGAATGGCAGTAATTTTTTCTTTAAAAAAAACCCGTTGTTCAAAAATGTACATAATGTTATACTAGAATACACATAATTGTATACATGAATATACATAATTATATAACAAAATATACATACTCTTTTTAAAAGACAATACACATAATCTAACAGAACAAATTACACTTTGGGTCCTGTGAGTATTAGGGTACTGGCAATTTGAGTACAGGACTTTCAAAACTCTCAATTTAAACCTTTATCTATTCATTTTTTGGCAGTTTTGGTCCTCCGGACCAAATTGTCGGCCAAAATTGGCCGGAAAATTATTTAATCGTTCGAATTGTTTTTGGGTGAGGGTAAAAACGTCATTTGTTATTTGCAGGACTTTCAAAACTCATCTTCCATTCATACGCATCTCGTTTCTTTCTTTCTGTTCAGTTCGTATTTGCAGTACGTGATTCAACTTCTACAAGTGCGGAACTTGCCTGCAGAGATCGATCGAGCTTATTTATGCTTGGGAGTAGTATTGGGGAGATTAGTTAATTAAGTTGTTGAAGATCGAATATTACGAATGAGTGCGAGGATGAGAAACTCGACGGCGGCGGCGGCGGCGGCGTCTTCGTCGGTGGCGGGGGAGGTGATGATGGAGATAGAGGCGAGCAAGCCGCAAGGGAATGGGATTGTGGTTGGGGGGTTGAGTCCTCTCAGCGAGACGCTGTGGAAGGAGAAAACTAACACGGAGTTCATGGGAGACGTCTCCGCCAGGCTGGCATGGAAGGATTTAACGGTTATGGTTACTCTCGGCAATGGAGAAACCCAGAATGTTCTGGAAGGTCTCGTCGGGTATGCAGAGCCTGGAACCTTTACCGCCCTCATGGGACCTTCCGGCTCCGGCAAATCTACTCTCCTCGACGCCCTCTCCGGCCGCCTCGCCGCCAACGCTTTCCTCTCCGGCAGAATCGCCCTCAACGGCCACAAAGCCAAGCTCTCCTTCGGAACTGCGGTGAGTAAACCGCTACTCTACTCTACTCCATCAAAATCTCCATTCCTTTTCCAAACTCTTTTTATCAATTTCCTCTCTCAAACCTTTCCACAGGCATACGTAACGCAAGACGACAACCTGATCGGAACTCTGACCGTCCGGGAAACGATCTCCTACTCTGCTCAGCTCCGGCTGCCGGATAGGATGCCGAGGACGGAGAAGCGCGCGCTGGTGGAGAGCACCATCATAGAAATGGGGCTTCAGAATTGCGCAGATACGGTGATTGGGAATTGGCACTTGCGAGGAATCAGCGGAGGAGAGAAGCGGAGAGTGAGCATCGCCGTCGAGATCTTGATGCGGCCCAGATTGCTCTTTCTCGATGAACCCACCAGCGGCCTAGACAGGTTAATCCAAATCCCGGATATATATCAATTTTCAGATCTCAAGAAACTAAAATAATACTATAATCTATACTCTAAACCTGACAATTTTGTATCTCCGTGATCTATCTGCGACAGTGCCTCCGTGATCTATCTGCGACAGTGCCTCAGTGCCTCAGCGTTCTTCGTCCAGTACTGCAAATAACAAATGACATTTTTACCCTCACCCAAAAACAATTCGAACGATTAAATAATTTTCCGGCCAATTTTGGCCGGCAATTTGGTCCGGAGGACCAAAACTGCCAAAAAATGAATAGATAAAGGTTTAAATTGAGAGTTTTGAAAGTCCTGTACTCAAATTGCCAGTACCCTAATACTCACAGGACCCAAAGTGTAATTTGTTCTAATCTAACATAATACATAATAAACATAAACTTTTAACATAATACACATCAACTCTTAACATAATACACACAAATTTTTTGATTCGGATGTACATAATTGTATAAAAGAATGTACATAATTGTATAAAGAATGTACATAACTGTATGAACAAATACACATAATTGTGTGAACAAATACACATAATCACAGGAACTTCCTACAGCGCCTCCCAAAACGACCCCAAAACGACGTCGTTTTGGGAGGCGCGCGGCGCACAGTGCTACACGCGCCGTGGTGTAGGGTATAACGATTGAAAATAACTTCAGTCAAGCCTCGTTAACCGAATCAGACACAAAAAATGGAACGGAGGGAGTATAAAATTATAATTTTTTTAATATAAACTTTATACATCAATTATTTCAAATCAAGAACCTGAGCACAGAACCAGTGGCTGTAGTTTCAATGGAGGTTGGGGTTGTGGAAGATTTGGTGCTTACTTATCTGCCAAACCAAGAAAGTGCACCTTGAACTATTAGGACATGACTGCAGAAGATCAAGAGTTCACATCCTTGAGGTTGAATTATAAGATGGTAATACTCTTGAACCTAATCAGTATTCCTAGTCGAAATCTTCGAGCAAGAGCTGTTCGGACAAAAGAACATCTTCCAGTTCCTTGCTAAAGTCATCGTTGTTGTCTTCCTGCAATTCGCCCGCTTCCTCTAAGTTTCTATCAACTTGCATCGGTTCTTCCTGTTGTAGAGATTCTACAGCCAACTGACGACCACATCCTGTTTGTTGATAGAATGCATCCTTCTGTGCATTCCAATCTGCAACTTTCAGCTGAATTGTTTCTCCAATCAATCTCTTATTCTCCGATATGTGTTTTATGTTTTCAATATCTCCAATCTTGCTAGCCTCTTCAGAAAGGAAACAGGAACAATCAGTGAGATCAAACGAAGTTTAAAGGAGGAGCATTTCCTTAAATTATATCATAAGACACAGATATATTAGACATTAAAAAGAATCAGTTGAAGTTAAGAAGAATAAAAGAGTAAGCAAAGATCATAATGTAATCAGTTGAAATCAGCAGGGAGGGCTTCATTAAGAAATAGACCCCCCCGAGTAGAAGAGAAGTTTCAGGTATTTCAGAGACTTTAGAAACAACTTCGAGTTCAAGCCAGTGGCAAACTAGAACAAATTAATACACGGTTTTCCAAAAGCTAAACAAAAAATTATTTGGGAAATATTACATGTAGTTGGGCAAAGTCTAACCACAGGTACAAAAATGCATTATCTTCAAGAAAGATATAATTCCAACAGAACATCCACTCTACTTATTTGACTTGAAAATGGGAATAGTAGAAGAAACGTAAAGATATTGAAACAGTTACGTACCTTCAATGGCTCGTTTCTTGGCCATTGCATATTCTGTTGATCTTTGCTTGATCAAATCCGCATCAAGTTCCATTCCCTAGACCAATTTTTTAAAGAAATACCATTTTGAAAACACCATGACAAACATGTCACACAAGGCATTGATAAATGACCATGTAAAAAGTGATTATGAGTTATGACAGCCAATAATTAGCAAAATTTCTTTCATTGGTCAAACTGACCACATTGTACAAATCTGCATATCAGTATAACCCATGGGATATGTGCACATACATAATAATCTGTCATGTGCATAAGTAAAGCAACTTTCCAAGAAAGAATTTGACCAAACTAATGGCACACAAGTTTTACTTGTCCAATAGCTCTAAAAGTTTATTTTAGAAGCTATTTACACTCTTGACCCTCTACACACTTGATAATCACATCTTTATTCTATTTCTCCATCTGAAGTGTTGCTAGCAATACTTATGCAACATATGCCTATTTGGAAATACACATAGGTGTTGTGGAGCTTACCATGTCCAAATGGGTGAAGTGCTCAATTTTTGTGTTTGCAAACAACCTATACAGCAAAAATGGTTATGGTCACTTGGCCAGTTGCAACAAAGAAACCAAAGATCAAATGGAAGGGAATCCCTTATGTTAATGTGGGGTTTTATAAAATTTAGTCCTTACTTCGCATATGCTGTCTGGACTCTAGCATTCTGTATTTCTGTAAGCTCATTTACTCTCTCTGTTGCAGAGCCTTCGTTTATATCCACAAACCCAAAGAGAAACATGTTTTTATCCAGCATTCTTTTGACTAAAGCACAGACAACATTTATATTGTTGGCTTTTGCATCTGCAACAAGGTTTTGCAGCCTCTTCAATTCTCCTGTAAAAGAGTTAGTACGCACCATCACATCAATGGTCATAGCATTTCAGCAACTGGAATCAGTTTTGAAATGGGTACACATCCATTCATTTCTTAGTAAACAATTTGACCTATCAGACCAAATAATGAACAAGGTGACAAGACATTTTTGTCCAATACTGACATTTTGACAACCAACAGCTGGTCTGTTAGTGTATCATTACCTATAATTGTGAGTTCTAAAGACAATTTAATGGAATATTTGCATAACCAAGAATTCAATTGTTCAAATTTAAATCTCAGTGGTTAAACCAATAAAAAGAATTAATACCAAACATCAGAACAGACAGACAGACAGTAGCTTCAACATCTTATAGTGGCCAATATAAAACCCAAGCTTGAAAATCTAGTACATAACCTTTGCAAAAAGAAGGATGATAATCAGTGACTAATCAAATACATTATACATTAGCTTTGTGGATTCTCTGGTCTCAGGTCACTAGAAGATCAGTCAGAGAAAGAAAACATAACAACCTGCAATTTAATCTACTATATTAGAAAAAGTTTTTAGTCATACATACCAAGAGATAGATATATCTTAAAAAGAGGCTTGAATGGCTGAGTCTCGAAAAGGCAATATAAGCAATAAATGCCACCCAGTCTATGTGATAAAGAACGAGTAGATACTGCATAGCCTAAGACCAAAAAGACAAAAAACAAAGAGTCAAAAAAGTAAATTCAGTACCAAACAGCAAGAATGTTATTTGAGGACAAGAGGATGGCAGTTTAAATTCCTAGAGGTCATCGATAAAAGAAAATAATATCTAAGACCGAGGAGAATATAATACCTACATAGCTCATTCACATTCAATAATCTCTACGTTTAGTCCAGTCCTAGTCCCTTCATTTCAGAAGTTCAGAGTTTAAAATGAATATTAGGTCACCAAACATACTTTTACCAGAGTTAGATCAAGTAATCTTTAAGAACTGAATAGCATTAAACATATTTTCTCAGTGCTATCCATAGATGTTAAATAATCCAAGAAAAAAAAAAAAAAAACACAAAAGTGAGAACCAAAAAGGGAGTATGAATGGCAAACATAATATGATAAGAATAACAAGGATAAAACCATAAACCATACAACTAGAAGGGGCACTGCCAATGCAAGAAATAACATATTATGGTGTCCAAGAACTATAATAATAACCAACTGTGGGAAAGAAACATTAAACTCTGAAGTCAAGTTAAAATGTTAATTCTTTCAGAATTTTAAGACAGAAAGCTATTAGCTCTTGCAACATTAAGAATTAGATACAACTATTATATGCAACATTCATTAATTAGTGAAGAATTATCTACTTGTAACAAATAGCATATTCTCACTACACCTACCAGAAAATAAATATTTTATATAACGGAAACAAATCATATGGCCAAATTCATGTTGATGCTGAGGGAAACTAAGAAAGATTTAAGTGATTGTGGGGACAAAAACTGGTTGAGTTACATAGGTTTTATCTGCAATAAGAATAGGACTTCCTAGCACTTAAGGGGTAGACTGTGGACACATTGTTGACTGGCAATTTTCTACTATCATAATAAGCAGTCACTCAATCTAGATGATCAAGCTCAAGCACCTCAGATTGGGTTACAAAGCACTAAAGTTAAAAACATCAAATGAAGCACATTAAGAACATACCAACGGAATAAGCAAAGAGTGATTGCATAAAGCATGCCTGATTTGTAGAAGGACTTGCCTCAAAAATAAAGGAGAATTTTTTTGAAAGCCATACTTTCTTCATCTCAGCGAGAGTAGTTGATCCACCCTGTACACCAACAAGATTGCTACTTACCAAAAGAAGCAGGAAGAATTGAAAACACTAGAAAAAAAATTAAGTGATACCACTCAACAGCTCTATGGTTGAGGATCATACTAAGGAAGCACAAAATTGTTCATACCTCAGCGAATTCACTTATAAGCTCATCTATGTCTAGTTTAAATGGTTTAAGATCCATGACAGTAATCAGTAAATAGCCCCCTCCAAAAAAATCTGCAGCAGAAATAGACATGTGAAGCAAGATGAAATACATGTGTTTTGTATACTAAGACGAAACTAGGGATGGCAAAGGTAGGGTACCCACCCATTTAGCCATTCCCAAATCCAAACTAATTTACACTTATGACTACCCGAACCCGTCCCCAACCCAACTAAATATTACCATCCCATACCTGTTTGACAATACCAGTAAGGTACTCGAACCCATCATCCATTTAATTTTTTATTTTTTTTAAAATGTAGATAATTTGCCATGAAGTCTTTACACTGAGAAAAAAGTAATGAAACACTCACCATCTTGTTTATATCTAAACCAAAATGTATTCACCCCACACTACCAATATGGATAACCATACAAGAATGACAACAACAACAACAACAACAACAACAAAAAATCTATAGCCAAGGAGTCTAGCATACATTAACCATCATAAACCCAGATCCCACATTAACCATTCTAGTCAAATATTCATTTCAGCCAAGCCATGTTGAGCATAGGTTCATAATTAAATAATTAGGAATACTTTATGAAACAATCATTTACACTTGACCTAATGAATTCTATAGGTATTTAAGATGTAGTTGTTTAATCCATAGGTAAATCTATAGTTATTTCAACTTTTCTTATAATGAATTTCATGCAAAAAAGGGCAATGGGATAGTCAATTGGACAAAGGAAGGCCTACTTTACAAGATCACTACCCTCAAGTTTTCCTAAGAATCAATCTAATTCCCAGTGACCTCAACTTATTTTTTAATCAACTGAATGGTGTTGTTTTTAAACAGGATACGATGTAAAGTTTCTTCCTTATTTGGTACATTTGGGAGGGTGGGAGGGAAGGGTATTGAAGTCAAGATTTTCTAAATAGAATCTGAAGTTTTGTCCAAGAACTTGATTTACTTAATGGACCAGTTTGAGATCATGGAAAACTTATCAGTAGAAATTAGCCCTATTAATCTTCCTAAAGCTCAGTCTTCAATTCAGGTTATTTTAAGCTTGCTCTGCCCTCAGAGCATCAAAGAACTAATTTTTACCAAGTGACAACCATAGTATTATGGAAGTACCATTGTTATGTTCCCAGTTCCAATGGTTTTAGAAAATATTCCATGCACTCTCAGTAACATGTGAGAGGATCTTTCATTTCCCAGCGGAAGACAACTCAGTGACATGTCAGATTCAAATAATAGCCATATTAATTTCTTGCACAGCATGCCGTTTGACAGGTTAGAGCCTTAATGGGACCTCAATACATTTGAGGTATATCAAACAAGGAAAATATATGCTTTCGTAATCAATTCATCTTTAAAAAAAAAAAAAAAAAAAAAAAAAAAAAAAAAAAAAAAAAAACTCTATATCCTAGGCAAAACTGCCCAAGGTCATTAGCCAGAAACGTTTCATACACTAGATCCAGGGAAGCACTATGTCCTATGTGTATGTCTGTATTCCAACTGGAACAACCAATATTGGGATCTAAACTACCTCCTGAGTCCTGATTAAGCCACATGTCACATGGAGAAGAGCGGAGGAAGGGGGTGGGGGTGGGGGTGGGGGGGGAGGGGGGGAGAGAGAGAGAGAAATAGATTGATACATGAAGACACAACAACAAAATCAGGGTAACTATGGAAACTTATACACTAAGCAAGTAAAACGTTATGAATTCTAAATTGTGAAAATCCCAGAAATCAACAGTTAACAAAAAGTATAAAGTTATTATTGGAAATGCTAGAAAATATATGTCTTAGGCAGCCCTTTCTGCAGCCCTATTTACTCTAGCAGTTAGAGCCTTGAGGAGAGGAGTAGTTTTTCTTGGTCAGTCTAGCTTTTATTATGCCTCTTCCCAGTGCTTTCTTTATGCCTATATATTGTTATGTAATCTAGAGTAATAGAAGTAATAAGAAACATTGTTCTATTCTTCTAAACAGCCTTTTTAAGAGTTATAAACACCAGATGTAACTAAACTTAATACCAATATGGTGGCAAATGAAATAGTTTTTCTTACTAGTTTTAAGTTGATCCCAATTCACTTTGGTCCACACTTTTGTGCCTGAATCAACCTGCCAGACGTGAGAAAGAGAATGGGATTAATTCATGAAGAAAAAAAAAATGAACATTTCTACATTCAGATTTCAGACAGTCAAAGTTGAGCAAAATCAGTCCCTGCAAATTTAATACAAAGGACTAGGCAACAATGAAAAATTCAATTTCCAGACAATTGAATTAAATCTGCATTAAGCATATATTAGCAAAATGTTAATAGTTACTGCTTTAACTTCATTAGCATATATTAGCAGCAACTACTATAAGTTGTTGTTCTTGTTTTAAGGTATTATCATTAAATAAATTGCTCTTTGGCCTGTATAACAAGAATTAGGTTTGCCAGAAGCAACTCCATGTGTACAGATATATGGAAAACAAATGAAGCGTGGAAGAAAAATTGAATTTGAAGATTTAAATCAAAGCAGGAAGCCCTCAACGTTAAATAGCTCACACCATATACATATATACTCTGTTTACCATCAGAGTAGAGCAGCGCAGCACAAAAAAGGGGTAGAGCAGCACAGAAATTAAAAGCGCAACCCTGGTGGGGAAAAAAATAATAATAATAAAGGACGAGTCGAAGATATTACCTTTGGCGATGGGCGAAGCAGAGCAGCAACCTAAGCTGTACACTCCGCGAAGCAGGCGGAGGCGGAACGTGCACTTTCTACTATTGGGAGGGTGATGATATCAAGCCAAGACCATGGGGGGAAGTTTGGCCAAACTTAAATACTACTTCAGAATCTCTTTTTGAAGTGGATGTGAGATTGTATCATTGTTGGCTAATAGGAATGTTCAATCGGTTAATTGTTCGATTAAGTGAATCGTTTTAAAATTTTAACCGTTATCGAACAAAATTTTGTGTTACCAAATTAACTGAATCAGAATTTTTTCAATTAATAGGTCGATTAACCGATTAACCGAACTTTTTTAAACTAAAGTTTAAAATCCTAAAAATACTATCCATAATAATAAATCCAATTAAAATAATACATATAAATATAAATATATAATAATAAATTCATAAGAAAATATACAAAAACAATATCATAACAACATTACAAAATTATAGGGATTTTACATATTAGATTATATATTTACTAGTATTTACCCGTGCAATGCACGGTATGAAAATCTAAGCATATATGTTATAACTAAAGATATATAAGTATTTGCGATGCGCGATACAATGTTGAATGATTATAAGTATTTATATTGTTGATACCAAAAATAAAAGGATGTTAAAAAAAAATTAAACGATTGAATGTTAAATATATTAAGTAGCATTTTATTGTAAAAAATTGAATTGTGTACTAATAAATGTCTGTAATCATTATTCCAAAGTAAAAATACTTAATCAATATTAATGTTAGATAAACAAAATTCAAATTACAAATTATTGAAAACTTCATTGTAAACAACATTAGTTGTTTATTTCGTTTACCAATTAGTCCCTGTATCTATTTGAACCAGTAAATTTGCTTCAATATGTGTCCTGGCAATGGGAAATGATTGGACTAAACATTATTCTTGTCGAGAATTTTGTTAATGTCTAAAACTGAAACAACATCAACATGAATGCTATCTTTAGAATTGTTCTTCCTACAATTAACAAATGAATTATTAGAAAAAGAATTAATATAATAAATATACATTACTACATTAAATCTGATTCTTTCTTCTTCTTTTTTTTTTTATTACAAAAAAAAAATAAAAAAAAAAATCACATACCTTACAGAATCAATACGATTATTAATTTCATTCTCTGTGTAGTGTATGTACACAGTCAAACAAATTTAAGTTGGTTACCATTTGGTGGTCACAAACTTCCAATTGTAACGGACTTAATCCACTATTTTTGTTAAGGATATGTGTGGCTGACATTTTATCTCTTTATATTTGTGGTAGTTATGTTCCTATAGAAAAGGTGTATTGAACAAGTTGTTACAACCTCCTACTATTCTCCCTCTCTTGTACACTATTTATAGCTCATTATTTTACATCAATAAAGCACAGTTTATAATCTTTACATGGTATCAAGAGCCTTGAATCTCCTACGAAGTTTTTTTTCTCTACCCACATGGCTTCCACTATTACAGCCACAAACGATATAATCCAACTAAATGCCCCTACAAACTTTCCCATTAAACTCAATACCACGAATTTCCCAGTGTGGAGATGTCAAGTCCACTCCACACTTATTGGGTTTAATCTTCTGGGTTACATCGATGGTACCACCACGGAACCCGCCAAATTCACTGATACTGCTCAAACTGTCGTTAACCCGACCCATCTAATTTGGTATCGTCAAGACCAAATCATTGTTAGTGCACTTCTCGGTAGTTGTACTGACACCATACAGCTCCTCATCTCCTCGGCTACGACAGCCCACGATGCGTGGCAACGTCTGATTGCTAGTTACGCCAGTGCCTCTCGAGGACGTATCATATCCCTCAAGGCCAAGCTCACGAAAAATCCGAGAGGGTCTCGGTCCATTACGTCTTACCTGAATGACATGCGAGCCTTAGCTGATGATCTTGCGCTGGCTCAGTGTCCAGTTTCAGATGAAGATCTAATTGTTTATATATTAACTCAGTTAGGGAAGGAGTACAACTCTATTATATCTGCCGTCCGTGTTCATGAAAAAGCCAATTTCCTTTGGTGAATTGGCGGACGTGATGACTGACCATGAACGTCAGCTGAAGGCAGCGGATGAGACGCGACAATCGGTACTGGTTACTGCCAATATGACTCACCATGCTTCGCCACCCCCATGGTCTAACCAGCAGTCAACTTCCAACCGGAGGGCCCACAATAATGTATATAATAATGGCGCCCACCGACAAAATTGGCAACAAGGGGGTAACAATCGCTCCAGTATTATTTGTAAGTTTTGTCATCTTACAGGTCACGAAACCAAGGTATGTCGCAAGCTAGCCAGATTTCTTAAAGAGCATAATGTTGTCCCTATGCAATCGTATATGTCTCCTACAGCTAATGTTGTGACTGGGGCGTCTCCTCCCTGGATGTTTGATAGTGGGGCGTCGCACCATGTGACACCAAGCCTCGCTCCTCTGCAGACTTTCACCGAGTACAGTGGATCGGATGAACTACGCCTGGGTGACGGTAATTCCTTACAAATATCCCACATTGGCTAGTCTGTCATTCCCACTCCTTCTAATGTTCTCACTCTAGATAATGTCTTGCGTGTCCCACAGTTACACACTAATTTAGTTTCTGTTTCCCAGTTATGCAAGACTAATCGTGTGTCTGTTGAATTCTTTGATTCTCATTTTTTGGTTAAAGAACTTCGAACGGGGATTCCGATGCTACGGGGGGCGAACATTAATGGTGTCTATTTTGGACCAGTTGTCTCTCACCCAACAGTTCATGCTACGCAGTTGGGTCGTTTGTCTCAGTGGCACCAACAACTCGGTCACCCGTCGAATAAGGTGTTGCAACGCTGTAATGTTCCAGTCTCCATGTCATCTCTGCGAAATTTTTATTGTTCCTCCTGCAATGTTCATAAAAGCCATAAACTGTCTTTTTCTAAAAATACACTTGTTAGCACTAAACCTTTGCAACTTGTTTATACTGATGTGTGGGGACCTACGGAGTACTCTATTGATGAATTTCGTTATTATGTCATTTTTGTAGACCACTTCTCAAAGTACATTTGGCTGTATCCCATGAAACGTAAATCGGATGTGTTTCCAATATTCATTCAGTTCAAACAGCTAGTGGAAAAATATTTTAGCCTGTCAATTGATTCTGTTTACTTAGATAATGGGGGCGAGTTCATGAGACTTGGGTCGTTTTTTAATACTCACGGTATCTCTCATTTCACTACCCCGCCACACACTCCTGAGCTCAATGGTGTCGCCGAGCGACGGCACAGGCATGTCGTGGAAACTGGCATGTCTCTTCTTCACTCCGCGTCTTTTCCGTCCTCATACTGGACCTACGCCTTTCAGACAGCCGTATATCTTATTAATCGGCTCCCTACTCCGACTTTAGGTAACCAATCCCCGTTTTCTGTCTTGTTTCAACAATTGCCTAATTATGTCAAGTTACAATGCTTTGGTTGCCTATGTTTTCCCTGGTTGCGTCCCTATAACACCAAGAAACTACAACCAAAGTCATGTCCATGTATTTTCCTTGGCTACTCGAACAGCCAATCCGGTTATAAGTGTCTAGATTTTTGTTCGAATCGTATTTATGTATCTAGGCATGTGAGATTTGTGCCCCATGTGTTTCCTTATAACGATTTGCAAAAGTCATCTAACAGCTTACCTTCTGATTCTCATGATTCAGAATCACGCATTATTTTGTGCAAGTTATCTCCTTTGTCTACACAGGTTGAGCCCGTGGGTGTTCCAACACCAGTTCCAACACCAGTCCCAACACCGGTTCCAACTCTAGTTCCAACACCAGTTCCAACACCCGTTCCAACACCAGCTCCAACTCCAGCTCAGAGTCCAGTTCCAACACCATCACCGTCAGATACGTCCAATTCGTCGTCTCCCATTGTCTCAGAAAATGGTCAACCTGCAGCCCAATCCGTGTCTGATTCACAACCTATCTCCACCTCCGACACGTCTCAACCGTTGAATAATGTTCGCCGTTCCACCCGGGAGCGTCGTCCTAATCCTCGATATTCCGATTATGTCATTAATCAAGGCACTTCTCTTCCCTTACCTCCTACTTTAGAACCTTCTACCGTCGCCCAGGCTCTTAAAGACGCTCGATGGAGGAAAGCAATGGATGAGGAGTTCGAAGCGCTGCAACGTAACAACACGTGGCAACTGGTTCCCCGTGGCGCAGCTGTTCTGATTGGCTGCAAATGGGTCTTCCGTGTTAAGCGCAAATCGGATGGGTCAGTTGATCGTTTTAAAGCGCGGCTTGTCGCTAAGGGGTTCTTGCAGACTGCTGGATGGGATTATTTTGAGACATATAGTCCGGTTATGAAACCGGTCACGATCCGTATTGTTCTAACCATTGCTTTGAGCAATCGCTGGGGTCTGCGCCAGTTAGATATCAATAATGCGTTCCTTAATGGAACATTGAACAAGGAGGTGTTTATGGAGCAGCCTCCGGGGTTTGTTGATCCGTCATTTCCATCTCATGTATGCAAACTGACCAAAGCCTTATATGGTCTTAAACAGGCTCCCAGGGCTTGGTACTTAGAACTTTCCCAGTTCTTGTTGCGTTGTGGGTTTTTGAAGTCACAGGCAGATGCGTCTTTGTTTGTTTATTCTGCTAATGATATTATTGTTTATTTCCTGGTGTATGTCGATGATATTATCCTAATAGGAAGCAATGTTGCGTGGCTTGACAAGTTTGTTGGGACTCTGTCAGCTCAGTTTGCTCTTAAGGATCTGGGTCCCTTGCATCATTTCTTGGGTATTGAAGTAGTCTCGACTCTTAATGGCATGTTCCTGTCTCAGAGTCAATATATACAGATCTTCTGGTTCGGTTTAAGATGGATGGTGCAAAGTCTGTTTCGACACCATTGGCTACTACGGGCAAGTTGCTACCTGCGCAGTCTGGTAGTGTTGCGGTGGATGTCACTCAATTTCGGCGTCTCCTTTGAAGTCCACCCGCCAGAAGTCTGTGTCACGCTCGTCGACGGAATCTGAATATCGAGCCTTGGCGAATGCTGCTGCAAAGGTCTTGTGGATAAAGA